TTTTTAGAGCATAACATTTAAAATGCTTATTTTTTGTTGCTTAAATTCCGAGGTTATTATGTACTAGAAGTCCTCAAGCAGTCAAGCCTAATAATAATATGTATTGAGTGATTAATAATGTTAAAATATTAATTTCTCCAAACTCATCATTATTAGTATCCAAACTATGACCAGCAAAATGTACAACTATATATTCATTGAAAATTAATTTTAATTTTAGGTTAAAACTAGGTCAGTAGCAGAGTTGGTTCATTTTTATTATTTCTGGAAAAAAAGTGATAGGCATGATCAATTTGAAAGAAAACAAGTTTCAATGCGTCCAGAAATGAAGTAAGATTAAGATAATATAAATTAATACTACTAGCTTATTAATTTTTTTAGTTATTAGAAGTTATTAAGTAAATAATCAATTTTATGTATAGTTTATTTATTTTAGAGAATAGCTTTTGATTTATTTTTAAATTGTTATGTGTTTATATACATAGTTATAAGTTATTAATTATTATGAGTTGACCATTTCAGCTCATTAAATATTTTATTCAAAAAGTGAACCTAAATATTTCAAAAAATGCTTGAATATTTTTGTTTTAAAAAATTAAAACATCCCTACTATGAAACATTTAAAATATAATTTACACATAAATAATTGTATTTAAATAATAATTATTTAAAAAATGAGCATCAAATATTGTTATCATTATTTAAATTACAGGCAGTGGCAACATTGGGAGTCAGAAGAAGATCAAGATAGTGATTTTGATTCAAGTATATTTCCAGATAATAGCCATGATGATAGTGAGGATAGCTTGAACGCTGCTGAAAATAAAGCACAAATGAAGTGTTTAATTTATGCTGATCGCAAAAGACAAGTACGAAAAAAAGCTACGAATAATGCTTGTAGTAATACTAATACTAGTACTAACCCTAACTAACATTCAGTGCACCCCTTCAGGTACACTTATAAGCCATGAAATATTAAACTATAGCGACTATTTTGCTTCCCTTTTCCAGATTGAGAATTAATAATTCATCCAAAAATTGTGTTATGTCGTCAAATTTAATACAATGTAATAGTTCTTCATTATTACATAATGCCTGTCACTCGGAAACTGTTTGAGAAATCCACAGATATTGCATAATTACCTGTTCAAGTTACATTTGGAAATAGATACTTCAATAATAGTTATTCTCAAATATCAGATTAACTTAAAGTCTTCATGATAAATGATATTTTAATTTCAGCCATGGTGATACAGGTTTGCATAAAATACAAAATTGATCTTAGAACATAATTTAACTAACATATTTATATAGTATCTTAAATATTAAATTAATATTTAAAGTATAAGTTAGAATTTTAATACAAAGATAATTTATTTAAGATAAGAAGTTATGATAGTTTAGAGTTTTAAAACTTTGTTTTAACCCATATTTGACCTAAATTAAAAAATCAAATTTAACTATATATATTTACAATATTCCAGACAAAAAAAGACTGAATTTTAAATAGCGAATTTCCAAAATCTCTGATATTAAAATTATTTTTAACAGCTTTTCATAATTATATAATATAATTACAATTTCTTTAACTTCCTTCTCCTGTCTATACTAATACCTGTCTAAGGTATTATTACATAATTTTTAATGGGTTCATTAGTATATTAGTTCCTTGAAAGTCTTTACAGCCAAGATAATAAATAATAGATATCTTGATGATAAAGTTATAAGTTATCAACCTTTTTAACAGTACTATAGACTCTAACAAAACACCGGTTGAGAACCAAGGGGTACTTAATCTATACATTCAATATAGATAAAATATATTTAAAGTAATTTAAATTTTTTAAGTTTATTTATTGGAAAAATTCTTTAAAAGAATACTCAACAGTTTATATTKAATTTAAGAGGATTTTGTTAGTAATATTTGTTTTTTCTCTCAAACTCACGCTCAACATAGATAAAACACTCACCTAAAATCGTTTTT